GTGGCCCCTAAACGGGCCTGCTGTTCCATCTCGGCCTGCAAGTGCTGCAGGAAAGTCGTGACCGACTGGGAACTCGGACAAACATCCACCTGGAGGGTGCTCCGTATCAAAGAAACCCGAAAGCTGAGCTCACTGTTGGCCTTCACAACCTTTGTCGTGATGCGGTCCAAGCCCTGGATCAACACCGACGCGTCGGGCTCCGCAATGCCAATTGAAGCAGCCCGCCTTCTCCACAGCGACCACTTCCTCAATGCTTCCACCGCCTGTAAGGCCGTTTCGCAGGTGTCAGGTCTTTCAAGCTTTTGCAACACCAAAGCCTTTTCCTGCAAGTTCCCAGGTTGATACACGGCATACAGTTTGCACAGCAAAGCCAAACTTGTAACGCTGCCCATAGCTATTACTTCTTCACGAACAGGCTGAGGTACTGCCGAAAGCATCATCGCCGTGGCCCTCCGCTCAACACGAGCCCATTCCGGACGACTGAGAGCTTGCGACGAAGTGGGCTTGAGCTGCAGTCTTTCTAGTGGCGATGCCGCGCTGTACTGTGTGCACCATGTAAGGGCGTCTTGCAATGTAGCCTCCCACCAAGCATAGCTCGTATCCGACAGATCCTGCATTATCGGCTGTATATGCGTGAGCCAGTTCAAAAGGTCGATGCTGCCAGTCGTGGGTTGATACTCTGGGAGGCTCGGGAGATCAGTGATGCCAGGTTTGACGGTTTCGGGGCGATCCGACTTGCCGCCCTGCTGCTGTTGCTGTAGCAAAGTCTCGATGCTACGAGCCAAGGTAGCCAGAAGGTTCCCCTCAGGCGTTGTAGACGAAGTAGGCCCTTGTACGCCCCCAGCACTCACAGACCCCGTAGGCAAAGTTGACCCCAACAACTGCGGACCATTGACACTCGTACCCACAGCTCGAGCCTCATCGTTCGGCTTGTCTGTACGACCTGTGGACCCGCGACCAAATAGACCTTGGAAAAAGGCACGAGGACCAGGTGACTGTGATCTGGGACGCACACCTTGTAAACTAATATTGGGACCAGATGGGGTATGGCTTGCGGTAACTCCTGAAACTCCGGCGCCACTATAACCATCAACTAAACCTGCACCAACGCCAACAGGATCCCTTTCTTGCGTTCCATCATTTCGAGCTCGGGATTGGGGATCCAGTAGAGGGAGGGCATCAAGTACTGGTAGCGGAGCATTGCTCACATCTGGGACCAGTGGGGTATGGCCTGTGGTAACTCCTGTGTAAACTCCGGGGCCACTATAACCATCACGCTCAGGTAATCCCGGAGGGGGTTGAAGATCCCCTGGTGGTAGAAGTCGAGCTAGGCTTGCTGCTTCACTGGCTTCCAGCTGATGCCGAAGCCTTCTAGCCTCGAGCGTAGCTTCTTCAGCCCGGCGCCTTTCCACACGCAGTCGTTCATTGAGATCACCCATGACAGCTTCCAGCTGCTTTGCCACCTCGGCTTGGACAAGTTCAGGGGTGATTCCTGCCGATCCAGTTGAAGAGGGTGGACGATTCTCCACCGCAGTCATAGGTGCCCGGGGTGTTGTAGAAGCCGTAGGCATCCCAAAAGCAGTTGAAGCCTCCTGCATGGGCCACTGTCCCACCTGATTCCCAGAAGCTGCTCCATGTGACGTCCATGCCGTCACTTCCACTGTCCTCTGCAAGTACTCGCCAATCTTTGACAACCAAGCAGTTGCCCGCGTAGGTGTAGCCCCCTGTGCCGATACAGGGGATTGTCCAGGCAGAGGTGACGGCATGAAACGAGGAAAAAGGGGCGCACCTAGCGCCACGTCATCGCGCCCATTTCCGGTAACGTTCGTCGGCGGTGGGACAAATCCGGTTTCTTCCCTCGTCCCAGAGGGGTCGTTCACCACTGTTCCGCGATCAAGCGGAATCTGACGTGGTCCAGGATCACGGTCTCCCTGAACCACAGCTGCATTCTGCACCGTAGGAATATTTTCAGCAGGCAACATAGTTTCTGGAACAACTGTTGCAGCAACTCCATTTGGCAGATTCATAGGAACACCCTGCTGTCCCGCCTCAGTATGAAGATCATGCAGTGGCTCGGCGGGATAAGGACCGTAGTTCAGCCCCCTAGTCTCGCCATCCAAGAGAGGCGTAGAACTTGGGCTCATACCCTGTTGATGAAGGGGCTCGGCAGGGGCACCACTCGCAGCTGAATGCAGGGCCATGAACCCTCAAAGCGAATTGAAGACTTCTTTTACGGCACATGCGAAGGTACGTTGCTTCTGTTATGCCCTTGACGGCTCTGGTACTTAATGCAGTCGAGTGCTTTGCTCTGCAAAAGCCTGTACGTCCGACGCATATTGCACCTAAGTCAAAGGCTGCAGCAACGATCGCGGCACAGAGCTGCACATCCGCCAGCAGAGTTTCAGCATTAAGGTTTTAGGGTTTAGGTTTAGGGTCCTTGGGATTTAGTGGGGGTTTTAGGGTTTAGGTTTAGGGTCCTTGGGATTTAGTGGGGGTTTTAGGGTTTAGGGGTTTAGGGTCTTTGGGATTTAGTGGGGGTTTTAAGGTTTTAGGGTTTAGGGGTTTAGGGGTTTAGGGGTTTAGGGTTTCGGGACCGCCCCAAGGGTCCGAAGGAACCTGGCGATGAATTGGTACTTGGGTTGAGGGCAGTTTTTCGGGTCTAGGGTCTAGAGCACGGGGTATAAGGGTTTCAAGAATAACTCAAGATTTGCAAAGGTCCTTTCCTGGGGGGTTCCCTTTAAATAGTCATTGGTGGTTATGGCGTTGAGTCGACTGCAGCGTTGAGCTCTGGGTCTGCAGGACGAAACAACACTATTGTTGCCGCGATGTTACAAACAGATAGCCCAGGTGATTTCGAACTCTTCAACAGCAACGTCTACCCAACCCTAAACCCTAAAACCCTAAACCCTGCCTGAACCCAAACCCAAAACCTTTAAAACCCTAGACCCTTAAAACCCTCGAACCCAAGAACTTCCCCAAATTGCAAACCCTGAGCTCGAAAGCCGAAAAGCCCGAACACCTCCTCCAGGTCATCGGCTCAGCTCAAGGGAGGTAGCTTTAGGCTTTTGGGTCTAGGGTGTCGGTTTTTGGGTCTAGGGTCTCGGTTTTTGGGCCTAGGGTGTCGGTTTTTGGGTTTAGGGTGTTGGTTTTTGGGTTTGGGGTTTTGGGTTTCTGGTTTTAGGTTGGTTTAGCAATTCTGGTGTTGGGTTTAGGTTTGTGGTCTGGGGTTTAGGTTTAGGGTCTAAAGGCACTGTGTTTTGAGGTATGCTTAGGCAGATCGTGTAAAAGCACCGGGCACACTCGTGCCAGGAGTTGCAGAGCTCGCCGCGCAAGGATTTGCACCTCGACGATCCACCTAGCCGGGGGAGGGGCATTCGAGGGCCCACCGTAAGCCACGAGAACTTGTTTGTCTGTAGAACAACCCTATAAACCCTAAACTCTCTATGAGCCTGGTGCAGAAGGTCGGGTCCAAGATCAAATTAGGGCTTAGGGACCTTCTGATCAAATGGGACCTTGCGGAAATGTACCGGTGCTTAGTTATGGTTTAGGGTTTAGGGTTGCTAATTTGCAACAGTGTCTCTTCGGGGTCGTAGTTCGTGGTCTTGCTAACTTCCAGCTGCGGAAAGCGTAGGCTGCAACCCTGAACTCAACCGCAAAGTGGGTATCTCTGACGCTCGACTGTAAAGCTTAGGCCCTGTAAAGTATGAAGTCGCTAGCACTTGCTGCAATTTTACAGTATATGCAACCAAAAAAGCAGAGCCAAACTTAGCCAATGAGACCGGGGACCGCCAAGACTTAGGAAAAAGCCCTCCGGCGGTACTTAGCCCCCAAGTAAGCCGTAAATTGCCCGAGGCGCAGAGGTTTAGGGTTTAGGGGTCTAGGGGCTCAAGGCATTTTTTTTTCGGGTTTTGGGGTTATAGGGTAAGTTTTGGGTTCATGCAGGGGTTTAGAGTTTCGGGTTTGGGGTTTAGGGTTTTTGGGTTCATGTAGGGGTTTAAAGTTTAGGGTCTACTCCTTGGAGCTTCTCATTATCATCCCAGAGAACCCAATACCCCTTAAATTAAGGAATATACCTTAAATCATAATAATAAGGCCCCCATAATTTAAGGTGTATTCCTTAAGTAAGGTGCATTCGGCTCTCTGGGACTATCCATATACTACATTCTACCCCAAAGCCCCCATTCCAAGTATTTGCAGCCCCCATAATTGGTTCCCTAAACCCTAAACCCTAAACCCCAAAACGCCTAAAACCCTCAACCCTAAACCCTCAACCCTAAACTCTAACCCCTAAACCCTAAGCCCCTAAACCCTAAACCCTCAACCCTAAACCCTCAACCCTAAACTCTACCCCCCGAAACCCTCAACCCTCAACCCTAAACTCTAAACCCTCAACCCTCAACCCTAAACCCTAAACCCCTAAACCCTAAGCCGTTAGCTTCCCTCAACCCTCAACCCTAGCCCCTAAAACCCTAAAGTCTAAAACCCTACGATTCTACTTCCACTAAAGCCCCTAAACCCCTAAACCCTATAACCCCCTAAACCCCTAAACCCTAAACCCAAACCCCTGATTCTTTATGATCCTTGCAAGTGTTTGGTGGCCCTCGCTCTCCTCGCCGCTATGGGGGAAGCGGCCCAACAAGCAGCCGCGGCAGAACGGGCGGGCACTGCTGAGGTCACGGTGAGAGTTGATCCAGAGGAAGCAGAGAGTGATGAGACAATGTGGATGCAGATGCCTTCCTCTCCCTCTGGGGCAGATGAGAACGACTGGGAACCGTTGATGAGGGGGTTTATAGCTGCGATGGAAGGGCGACGCAAACCAGCCCAAGCCCGCATTGCCGAATGGATGCTGGAATGGTTGGATCACCGCTGCTCAGATGAGAGGGCGGGCTACCTGCTGGGCCACATGCCAGGCAATACGGCGACCCTGACGGCAACCCTTGTCACCTTTGCAGGGGATCCGACGGGGGACGATTGGGCAAGGGCGGAGGACGTGGACACCATGTGGGCGCTACAATGGGCACAGCGCCTGCAGAGACACCTCATGCTACATCCTGGGTCACGGCAGGCACGGGGCCTGACGCCCCGCAGCAGGCCCGTGATGCTTAGCCCTGTGCCGATTCCAGATGAACTCCTGTTCTCCGAGGAGGAAGGCCACCCGCAAAGTGTGCATGGGGACCTTCCGGCGGCGCAGCTGGATCAAATTCTGACGCTCAATTCCTCGGGGGTTGAGAGCTCCCACAGAGCTGACTCGAAACAGGCTGCCCAAGACAGGGAGGTCCGCTATTTGGCCTCGCTTCGGGACCTGCCGGCTGAGCCACCAGCGAAGGTCAGGGTCTTGATGATGCAACTGGGTGGCGAAAGCAGCAGTGGCAGCACAGAGGTACCTCGACGAACTATCAGGATTCCCCTACCGGAAGGCCAGGTCACTACGCTTTCCATGAGGCTATGGGTGGAAGAGGAAGAGGACCAAGACGAGATCGCTACACAGGTACTGCCTGGTGTTGGATCGCCTGTCGTGCCAGCTTTGGGGGATGCTCTGCCAGCGACAGGGGGCGGCGGGACTTTCACTGGCCTGGCCCCATCCATGCCGGCGGACACGGAGGTGGACTTGGGGACACCGACGGTTAGCGAAGGCACACAGGGTACCCAGCAGCAGATGCACGATGTTCACTATGCTCTGTATGGACCGGCGGCACCAAGCAGCGCGGGGTCGACCGAGCATGTGGGGACAGAGATGCCTACAGGGGCTCAGACAGGGTGACCGCGACTTGCCGTTCAGCAGTGGAGGCAGAGGGTTGTTGTTTTGGTGCATTGTCGGAGCTGGTAAGGGCTCCTGGCTTGCATCGGGTGCTCTCGAAGGGACCACCAACTCCTGGCCTCTGGGCCTTCCGACTGTGGATTGCGGGAGGAAAAAGGAGCTTAAAAAAAAAAAACAAACCCCTAAACCCTAAACCCTAAACCCCTAAAGTCTAAAACCTTAGGATTCTACTTCCACTAAAACCCCTAACCCCCTAACCCCCTAAAGCCCTCAACCCTAAACCCTAACCCCCTAAAACCCTAAACCGTCAGCTTCCCGGTTTCAGGTCTACTTCCTTCGCGAACCTCCGAGCTTCTGCGAAGAGAAGTCGAAAGCAAAGAAGTCTAGGATCTGCTTTAGGGTTTAGGGTTTAGGGGGTTTGGGGTTTAGGATGTTTAGGGTTTAGGGTGTTGAGGGTTTAGGGTCAGTGCTTTCGGGCAGGGGTTTAAGGGACAGGGCTATGCGGTTGCCAGCTGTTAGTCTTTTGAGGTTGGTGCGCAGGCATGGGATTCTTTCCTGGGTTCTTTCAAGGGTTGTTTTAGAGTAGTTCGAGGGCAATTTAACGATTACTCTTGAGGTGCTAAGGTTTGCATGCCTAAACCCTAAACCCTGAGCATTTTCGCTGAAAGCCCATTTGCTTCGGCATTCGCATCACTCCACGTCTTGAACTTTACCTGGCCCCCCCCCCCCAAAAAAAAANNAGGGGTTCGGGGCTTTGGGGTTTAGGTCTTTGGAATCTCACGTTTTCTTTTTTTTTTGGGGGGGGGGGGGGTGTGGGTAGGTAGACCCTATAGCCCGGAACCCGGAACCGCGGTATTTCTCAATCCAGGCATATTGAGTTCTCTGGACTGGACCCTAAGTTCGAAAAACAGATTGAGCAAGGTGGACCTTAAACCCTAAACCCCAATCCTGGAGTTACAGCATCTGGCTCTTGCTTCAGGCTCACCATAGCCGGAAAGCCTGTTGTATGTGTGTATGTATGTATGTAGGTATGTATGTATGTATGTATGTATGTTCGCTTGTTTGTTTGTATGTATGTATGTATGTATGTAGGTATGTATATACTAACATATATATATGTATATACATATATATATGTATATGTATATATATATATGTATATATACATACATATATATATACAGTTGCACGGCATGGTCTTTGGGCCCAGACGCATGAAGATTTCGAGTCCCTGGAGCCTTGACCTGGGGTTCCCCCCCAAACAACAAAAGCGGAGTCCGTCGATAAGGAAAACTCGGTCAGCCATGGGCCTTAGAGGTTTGTAATTAGCCCTAAACCCTAAACCCGAAACCCCCAGTGTAGGGCCAAAACAGGGTTTCGGGCTTGTGACTGAAGGTTTACGGCAGGGCATAGAGGGCTTCAGGGCTTACGGCTTGCGGTTCAGAGCTTTCCGGCTAAGGAGTTAGGGTGGCGGAGTTTCGAATTGTAATGTTAAGGAGAGGAAACCGGCGCAGGCTATGAGAAACTCTTCCGCGCAAACCTTGAACCCTGAAACAAACGTAAACCCTCACTCCTCCTCCGAACATCAAACGTTTGTGAGCAACTGTGTGCCTGCATCCACAGTCGGATTAAACCCTAAAGCCTTCTCAGGGGTTGAGCTCCATTACGTAAATGCATGTGCAGTCTTTCCCGCAGGTGGAGGCGGATTGCCTTAATGATTGCTGGTAAACCCTAAACGGGACGTAGCAAAACCCTAAACTCTATACCAGTCCAAAAGTACTCGCCGTGCTGCAGCTGTATCCAGGCAGACACGGTCTGCCAATATGCAGGCTGCAGTATCTTGTATCTTGTGCCCGGTATTGAGAGCAGGAGGTGGCTTGTGTTGATGTTGATCCGTGTGCATGTGCAATACAACCGACATGTTATTTGTCGCACAAACAAAGCTTTACATCTTGCATAAGCACAGAGACAACATGGGATAAACCAATGCACAGTAGCCACATCAGCTCAGCAATGGGTTCGACAATCGTGATACTCGCTTAAAAGATCCAGATACGTTCTCGCCGTCAGTGTCTCCAGAGAACCCAATACCCCTTCATTAAGGCATGTACCTTAAATCACAAAAAAAAGGCCCCTATAAAGCTATATTAAGGTGTATTGGGTTCTCTGGGCCTCCATGTAAAGCTCGTCCCGCTGCCACGAAGCGCTGTTCGCGCATCCTCCGAGGGCCCATGGACCCGATCCAGGCGAGGCCTCCTCGCAAGTTGGTTTTGCACTTCGATGTGAATGAGACCATCATGGTCGGGGATCCGGCGGCCGGCGTCGATTTCGGTGGGTCCCTCAACAACATCATTGCGAAAGCAACCTTCATCTCGAAGACCGGGAAACTCGCCTCATCTTCGCTTTCTTAAACTTTTTTTTACCTTTGAAAGTTTCATGAAGTTAGATCCCTAAACCCTAAACTAAGCCCTTAAACCCTAATTCTTCATTCCTATACCCATGAGGCCTAAGGGCCTACGATCCGCAAATACCCCTGTGGATTTTCCTACTTCGCAGACCAGTTGAGGAAGACTTGGCACGATGGCTCACCTCTGGACCCCCTGGAGATCGACCATGATAACTTAGTAGTTTTAGGGTTTGGGGTTTAGGGGGCTATACCCATGGCCCATGGGGGCTCCTAAGCACTTCCTTTTTGTGGTTTACATTTAGAATCCTATAAGATAAGGTAATCCCAAAAAGGAACCACTAAGGAGCCATGGGTAAAGACAGTAACTCACGTGCTGAGTAGGCATCCTTTAACCTTTCATTTAATCCTGCTTTAGTTCAAAGGGTTAACCTTTTTTGGGCTGGGGTATGCTGGGGTACTCAGCCCCGAAGGTAGTAGTACTCTCGAGCACTAACTAATGTCATTAACAAGAAGAAGAGGAACGGGAATACTGCGAGTAGTAGATATAGTAGTTATAGCCATAGCTATAGCTATTGAAAGTTGTAACCGTAATAGTAATCGTAGCAGTGAACGTAATCGTCATCGTAATGGTAAAGGTAATGGTAATAATGAAAATATCAGTAATGGGAATAGTAATAGTAAAGGTAACAGCAATAGTAACAGCAACAGTCATGATGATAGTCACAGTAAGAACATTGTATACCATTTCAGAAACTAATGTTGATATATAATAGTAATGACATCAAGAGCTGACGGCTACACGCTGTAAGATTCAGACTGCGGATGCGCAGTCCAACGGCAGAGGTGTTGGGGAAGGGCTTTTATTCAGCTTGCGACGTACAGTATCACTTTGTCATAGTTGGGTACCCTTTTCCGTTGCTATGAGGACTTAAGCCCAAGAAAAGGACGAGTAGAAAATTACACTGTTTACTACAATCCCAACCATGGACGAGATTAAAGCTTGGTGCTTCAGAATCTAGTAGCACAATAAGACGGAATCACGAAGCCCCTGATCCTGGCAGGGCGAGTGATGAAGCCGAAAATCATTCGAAACCGTTGGCCTTGGCTTTTCAAGCGGCTCAGGGTTTAGGGTTCAGCGAACTTGAAGCCTAAGAAACCGTAAGCCCTAAGCCCTTTAATTTAAGCCCAAACCCTGAACCCCAAACCCCCGGACCCTAAACCCCAACCGCCAAACCCCTAAACCCTAAACCCCAAACCTTCAAGCCTCAACCCCCTAAAAACCCCAATCCCCAAACCCTACCCCTAAACCCTAACCCCCAAACCNNCCCTAAACCCCAAACCCTGAACCCGATTGTCTTCTTAACCCTGAAAGCCTGCTCTGCGTCGGAAGAGGACACACGCCAGCGTGCGGATTCTGCTCCGCCTCCCTTGGTGACGAGCTTCCAGGTGCCAGAAGACAGCGACCGGTGCTTC